AGCCATCGGGGCTTTTTTGCACAAAACAGCACTGTGCTGTTTACACTGGCCCTCTTGCGCAAATGATTTGCGCGAGAGGGCTTTTGCCCGAACGGGAGCAGCATAGTATTTCTGCAGGAACACTGACGATCTTACATGAGATCATCAGTGATCTTGAAGAAATTCAAGCGGCCAATGTAGACAGCTGGCAAGTTTTTCCGCAAAAGCAGATGATTTTGCGGAAAAACTTGCCAGTCTAGACACAGCCTTGATGTTTGTGAGACTTAAAGGCTGTCTCTTGGAGAGGAAACAACAAGAAAAGGAATGAACGTCCTATGACAGAGGGTGGCCACACTGCACACTGCTGGAAGACCCACCCATAGGTGAGCGTGAGCTACAGACCAAAACAAAACAGAACAAGCAGATCCTGTTCCTCGTCAGAGGATGCCAAAACCAACACCACCCTACCTGTGGAGTTCTGGGGACAGATCATTTTCATTGAGGAGTTCTACACTGTGGAATTCATTCTCACAGCAATAAGGAATATGTTTTTCTTCATGCAGCACACAGTCAACCTGTGGAACTCCTTGCCAGAGGATGTTGTGAAGACCAGGACTTGAACAGGGTTCAGACAAGAATTAAATACATTCATGGAGGACAGGTCCATCAATGACTATTCACCAGGCTAGACAGGGATGGTGTCCCTTGCCGCTGTTTGTCAGAGGCTGAAAATGGGCACAGCCCTTCCTGATTTATAACATTTTCACTGACGAGCTCTCTGTTCCTTCTGAAAATCTGTTCATTTTGCAGTTTTTATTACAAAAGAGTGACGGGAGGGATCACTTGATGATTCCCTCTTCTGTTTATTCCCTCTGGGGCACATCTGGCATAGGCCACTGTAGGAAGATAGGATACTGGGCTGGATGGACCTTTGGTCTGACCACGTGTGGCCCATTCTTACAAGGAACCACTATTCCTAGGATGTCTAAGCCACAATAGAAGGGGCAACTCATTGTAAAGACCTTCCTACATTCATACACTTGACAGAACTGCCCTGCTGTGTCTGCTAGGGAAGGAATATGAATGAATCCACAACAGATTCTGTTCATCTGTATTTTCTTTTGGGGATCCTAAAATACTGTATTTGGTGCTCTGGAACCACAAGGGGAGGGTGACTGTTTTGAAGACAAAACAGAAACCGATGCAAGGAGTTTCACATTGCACTTTCTTTTGGCTGTGTTGAAAGAAAACTGATTTTTCTCCTGCAGGAATATTCTATTGGTCAGCTAAGAATATCCTTTTATCTGGGTCAGGCGAGGTCTGCACTGCCTTCAGCCCCGTGGGGAGCCGGGAAACACACAAACCAGTCACACTGACAAAAGCACGCTCGTTCTCCCGCCGCCCTGCCACCACAAGAGTCTGTACTGACTCGTTCGAGTTGATGTTGTTAATGTATTGTGTGAAGTCCTCAGAGCAAAAATGAAATCCGTTTATCAAGGAGTGGCTAAGCCGCTCTCACCAATGGGCCTGCACAGCCGATCGATGTGGGGGGATGCGTTGTAAAATAAGCTATCGCCTTCACAGCATGACCAACGTCCTGTCTTTTTGTTGTTGTTGTTTTACGTTAGCTTCCACTAAAGGTCAGGAACTATATTTATCACAACCACACATACACTGGAGAGGGGAGGTTAGCTTCTTGTGGACCACGCTGTTCTGCATTGGGGACAAAATCTATTTACTTGTGTTGCTTGATTACCGGAGCTAAAATCTATAAACATTCAAAAATACTTTCCACTGCTCTGCAGCTTTTTCTCCAAGGGGCTCAAAGTACTTTCCTGGCCCTTCTAAGTTCTGTCATGCAGATGAGCATTATAATTGCTCTGCAGTAGGGAAAATATGTCACTGGATAGGACAGGGACATCATAGAATCATAGAACTGGAAGGGACCTCGAGAGGTCATCAAGTCCAATCCCCTATCTTCATGGCAGGACCAAGCACCATCTAGATCATCCCTGATAAATGTCTATCTAACCCTCTCTTAAAGAGCTCCAGTGATGGAGATTCCACAACATCCCTAAGCAATTTATTCCAGTGTTTAAACACCGTGACAGGTAGGAAGATTTTCAAGAGCAGCATCTAATTTTGGAAGCTTCAGAGGGTAGCCGAGTTAGTCTGTATAAGATAAACTTAAAACCCAACAAACGCTCCGGTAGCACTTTATAGACGAACAAAACATGTCGATGGGATCATGAGCTTGCGTGGGCACCGCCCACTTCTTCAGATGACCAGAGTGTTGAGTTTAGGATGTGCAGACCCAAAATAGAAGTGGGCTGTGCCCACGAAAGCTCATGATGCCATCTACGTATTTTGTTAGTCTGTATAGTGCTACCAGACTATTTGTTGGTTTTTAAGTTTATCTAATTTTGGGTGCATCCTGCTTTTTAGGTGCAGAATCCCAGGTCTGTCTAGAGCTTGGTATTCAGAGGTGCTCTGCACTCATGCATCAAACAGAGTTAGGCAGGCAGGTGAAGCAGAGAAGGTACTGGCTTTACACATCTTGAGTTGAGGGTCAATTTCATGGTCTTCCTATTTCTCCTATTTAATCTCATTACACTTCAAAATGTTTTGATCTCCCAATATATTTGAAGGCTGAGTTTTACCTTTAAGTCACTCCTTAAAACTCATCTCCCCTGCAAATGGAACACCACATAGGATGTACTGGGTTATTGTAAATATTATAATACTATTATCATAAACTATAGCTCATTTGTTGCCCGGCAACTATATGAGGTGAATTAATTTATCAGTCCAGAACCAATTTCTGAATATTGACTTATGCAGAGATGACAGACTGTGTATTTCATTCCCAGTTCCCGTAGCCAACCACTCACCCCTACTAAAGAATAATTGATGATGTGCGGCTATTTGGATTAAGTATTTTGATTTGCTTCTAAAACATGTTCACCCTGCTCACCCTATGGGAGATGGAGGGGAGGAATTGTTATCAGTTCCATAGATATTCAAATGAAGCTTTTTCAGAAAACTAAAGATCTAAAACAAAATCCCATAGATGTGGAATTAATTGCTGGCTCCGCACTGAATCGCCGAGAGACCTGATTTTCTTTCTGTGCCACAGCCGAAAGTGCCTCATCAGTAGGAATTCATGTGCAGGAAAACCAAGCATGTCCCACTTACTTTGTGTTCCATATGCTCGAGATGTTTAATTATTTTGTGATTAATTCATTTAACATTTAACTCATCAAGGACTTTACCATATTCAGCACGGCACATAATGGGCCACCCCTGCACACCTTCAGCTCTTCTTCTGGAAATGCACCTTGTGTTTTGTTTTTTTTTTTACCTGCAGCTGTTGTGAATGAATTAGCTTTTTAATTCTAAGCTCCGTTCATTCCCCTGAAGGAATGCACGGATACACACTGGGGCCTAAGATGATTTGAGACATCTGTGGTTAAATTGAATGTAACATAGCCCACATTTTCAAGGATAAAATACTTTGGTTACAGGGCGGGGGCTGGTTATTAAACATATGTCAGGCCTTAGTTCAATGGTTTGCAAACTTTTAGACAGAGATTTCTGTCTACACAACAAAGTATAAGAGGACTTTTTTTTCTTTATTGTACATTTTAATGTGTGTTTAGTAGATGCTGAAAGGTGGTCAATTAACACACGTAGGCCTGTATGTAGACCTTAAGGTATAGCCCCCAGCTATGCAAAATGCGGAGCTGGATTCGGCTTACCTTTAACCGAGCTGCCGCATGGTCTACAGTTCAGGAGACACATGTTTCCGTTGACTTCCCTTACTCCTCACAGAATGAGGCATACCAGACACCGGTGGGGACTGCCCTCAGTGTTCTGTTTGGGGGTCTACACTAGACCCACTAAATCAAATGCTAGAAGATCTGGAGTACTGCATCCAATTCTGCCCCTCCCCACCCCACTAAAGAAAGGGTGTGGACACATTAGAGAGGGTCCAGTGGAGGGTGACCAAAATGATTAGGAGGCTGGAGCACATGACCTATGAGGAGAGGCTGAGGGATTTGTGCTTGTTTAGTCTGCAGAAGCGAAGAGTGAAGGGGGATTTGAGAGCAGCCTTTAACTTCCTGAAGGGAGGTTCCAAAGAGGATGGAGAGAGGCTGTTCACAGTAGTGACGGATGGCAGAACAAGGAGCAATGGTCTCAGGTTGTGGTGGGAGAGGTCCAGGTTGGATATTAGGAAAAACTATTTCACTAAGATGGTGGGGAAGCTCTGGGATGGGTTCCCAAGGGGGGGAATCTTCATCCCTAGAGGTGTTTAAGTCTCGGCTGGTCAAAGCCCTGGCTGTGATGATTGAGTTGGGGTTGGTCCTGCTTTGGGCAGGGGTCTGGACTTGATGACTCCTGAGGTCTGTGCCAGCCCTGGGATTCTAGGATTCTAGGATTCTAAGATCGACCTCTGGAGGGTCAATCTTCTCCGTAGTGTAGTCTAACCTATAGTGACTAAAGTCCACAAGTCTCAGAGGGGTCGCCGTGTTAGTCTGTAACTTTAAAAGCAACAAGTAGTCCTGTGGCACCCTAGAGACCAATAAATATCTATAGTATCATGAGGTTTCATGCGCAAAACCCATCTGATGAAGTGGGTTTTGCCCATGAAAGCACATGATACTGCATATGTATCTAAGGGGCCACACTACTAAAGGACACAAGTTAGCCAAAATATCCACACAGGCATCGTGCAGAGAAGGGAGCAGTACAAACTACTCCCGACCCTCTTTTCAGTGTGCACTAGACCTCAGGCCAACAAGATCTCTTCCCTTCATTGGTCAGACTCTCTGTCAAGACTGCCAGCTACATCGCTAGTGGCCACTGCTGTTCTGATCAATTTTGACCAGGACCTGTGGGCCTTGTTTGGACTTAGGACTACTCAGAAGTCCTCCATTGCTAATTGCTAAGAGCAATTCTGCAAAAGTATGCCATCAGATGCATCCGTAGTGTGAATTCTTCTTCTTCATTTATTGTGACAGGCCCAGACCAGCTGGCTACCACAGACGAATGGAGGGAAGACACATTGGGGCCTGGGTGAACAGTTTTCTTTTCCCTAACAAGGGCCAAGCCTAGTGCAGCACCATCGGGAAGGCCCCTGGGGCCAATTAAGAGCTTGTTGGAAGCAGCAGCCTAATCAGACACCTGCAGCCAATTAAGGCCTGTGGAGCTGTTTTAAAAGGTTCCCCCTCAGGTAAGGAAGGGGGGAAGGAAAAGAGGGAAGGACTAGAAGGAGGAAGTGCATTGCTGGAGAGATTGTGTGTGTGTGTGCGCACGTGTGTGTGTGTGCGCGTGTGTGTGCGCGTGCGCATGCATGTGCATGCCTGTGTGTGTGTGTGTGTGTGTGCACGCACATGCATTGCTAGTGTGTGTGTGTGTGTGTGTGTGTTTTAAGGACTAACTAATTTGCCCCCAAGAGGGATCGTTTGGGAAAGTGGCCCAGGGAAAAAAGCTGCCAGACTTGGGAGTAAAAGTAACCCTGTCTGTTACTGCTACCTTGGGGTCCGTGGGTCGGACCCATAGTAGTGGGTGGGCCTGGGTTTGCCTCACCCTCCCCAACCCTTTATACGCCACTGCAGATTCTGCCTTGAGAGGGGAGACTAGGACTACAGAGAGAAGAAGCCAGCATGTGGAGGACCACAGTGAGTCTCTGAGGCAAACCCTGTTGCCAGAAAAGCGGGACCCATGGGGCCTGGCCAAGCTTTTCCACATTATCCAAGGTAAAATATGTGTATTTTTAGTGTATTTCATTTTAAAGTCTTGGATTGATTTCCACTAATTCCAACTAATTACGCAAGACATCCTCACGGTGATGACAAACACGAGGGCCTTGTCTACCCTGTCACGTTTTGGCTCTAAACATGGTCTTGTGGCAACCAAACTGTGAGGGTGTTTATGCTGCAATATGACTTTTGTTGTGTCAGTTTTGGGGACCAAAAACTTCCAGCCCTGTGAGAGATGTGTATTTGGCACTCCTTCTGCGTTGGTTTAAAATCGCTACTAGTGGAGGCACCGCTCCACTTCCTGTTCAAATCTCATCTGAAAACAAATCTCTTTACTTTCTGCAGTTATTATTGTTGTTCATTTTAACTCGGTCCTCTGGGCCACAGGAAAGGGCTGTGTTCACAGAGTGCGCGCAATAGGGCTAGAGACAGTCAAAAGGCATAGGAAGGGCCAAACTGGGCCAGACCAAAAGGCCCAGGGACCTGTCTTCTGATGGTGGCCAGTGCTGGGTGCCCCAGAGGGAGTGAACACAACAGGGAATCATCAAGTGATCCCTCCCCTGTCGCTCGTTAGTAATAATGGCTGCACAATGAACAGATTTTCAGAATGAGCAGAGAGCTCATTGGTGAAAACGTTATAAATCAGGAACGGCTGTGCTAGAGAATTTAACGTAAAGGCTGCTTGCTTTGCTGTGCCACATGGTGTCAGCTCAAAGCCTGGCAAAGCACCTACAGAAACCGCAGGGTATCTTTACATGTCCTGGGGACTTCTCAGAGAGGGGGCAGCCGCCTGCTTCATTTCCGGAGGTGGGCTTTTCTTGGTCTTTTTTAATCGGCCTTTTCATGCCAACCGGATGAAAATGTTCACGGGGATGTTTTTCTAAAAGTAGGGATACTGGGTTGTGCCTCCATGTGAAGCAGCCTCTGCTCTCCCATCATTTTGAGCTGGCTCGCACGAAACACAGTCTGTTATCTTCCACATTCAGAGAGATTTGGCTGGACCAGCAATCACTCCCCACCCTGCAGCTAGTGGGTTTGCCAGTGGCCATTAGTGTCTAGCAGTCGATGCCTGGAATATTCACACATGGTGTCTTGCAGCAATTCCCCACCCCAGCAATGAGGTAGTAGCTGTGGAAATTGACACCAGTGATGGGCAGTCTAGGCTAATGAGTGGACCACATAAGCAGCCCTCCTTCATCTCAGTGGGCCGCAGGATTGTCAGGACAAGAAGGTCTGTCAGGTTAGGGTGGTTTTGTTCACTGTGCTTGTGTACCTAGAATTTGCGGGATGTGCTGACTGAACCGTATCAGCGCTGTGATTGGAGGCAGAGGAAGCGCACGGCTCTTACAGTCCATGTTGTGTGCAATCTGCATGCACCTTGTTTCTTGTGCCCTGGTTTTACGCATGTGTCACTTTAATAACACGGGTAGGCAAAAAACGTCATAGCTAGAAACCAGCTGAATCTGGTAACTTTGTGCCTGGACAAAACACAAACAAAACGTGTCACAGGCCACACACAGAATTCTGAAGGGCCAACGGTGTCTTGTGATCCTCTTGTTGCCCATCACTGGTCTACAGAAGTTGGAGGCCCCAGCGTGGAGGCGTTTCTGTGGTTTCGGCACAATACGAGATGCATCTGGTCTTTCTAAATCCCTTTAACAAGTGCTGAGAACTGCATTTTCTATGGTACTTGCTAGCTGTGCAAACCCGCATACACAGCCCAGTAGAGTGATTGCCATCCAGGTGGAATCTCTCTTGTCCAGAACCCTCGGGAGCTGACCGGTGCCAAACCAGAGAATTTGCTGGACCACAGGAGGTCAATATTATCTAGCAGCATCACCAACACTGACCCTGATACCTAGGCTCTTGGAAAGGGTCAATCAGAGCTAAGTAACAGCACAGAGAGCCAGGACTGGTGGCTATAAAAAAAGTTTGTAGGACTGCAGGGAACTTGGCCACATGCATGATAAGTGGACATCCGGCTCACTAAAATCATGCCAGACCACAATTGTTGCTGGACCAGAGAGGTTCAGCTTGTACAAGAATAGACAAATAGGCCATTGAGTCAGTTCTCTGGGACATCTAATGCTGCATACATATCTTGGAGGAAGAGATAAACTCCTCCAACTTTCTGTCCTTAATTAAAGAAGATCTAATTGAGTGCCCCTACTGAGGGGAATAGAGGAGTTGTCATAGGGGACCTGTGGAGAAGCATATCTGTAGCTTTCAATCAGGGTGGGAAAACTTCCAAAGTGTCATGTGTGAATTTTCTGGCCAGAATCTATGTACTGTGCTCTGCCTAAATTGTGTATGTATGTACATACTACACCAGTTTTGGAAAGCTATATGACAGCGAGAGATGATGATGGATGAATGGATGGGTGGATGGATGGAAGGGTGGATGGGCAGATGGAAGAGTAGATGAATAGGAAGGAAGGAAGGAAGGAAGGATATGGACAATGCTTTTGGACAATGATAAAAATAACTAGCTTTACCATAGTATTTTTCATCAGCAGATCTCAAAGAGCTTTAATGGAGGAGGTTAACAGCATTATTAGAAGTGGTGGTTTTCACATAATTACCACTTTTTCCTGAAAAAAAAAGCCAATTTGTCAAAAGAAGCACATTGCTCGGGGAAGGGTTGTGTTTGACACGTTTTCTAACTTAAATACTTTTAAATAACTTGAAAACTTTTTTTTAAATTCTCAGAAGTCCCATTTTGATTTTTTTAAAACATAAACAGTTGTCAGTTTGGAATGATTTTCTGTTTCAAAATTTCACTTTGTTTAATGTTCAGTTTGATTTTTAAAATCTTTTAAAAATATAGACTCTTTCAAATCATCTTTTACCTGACACTGATTTTTCTTTCAGTTTGAGAATTTTTCACGTTTGCAGCCTTCTGGCCGGATTGGGAATGGGAATTTTTTCAAAATCTCAAAAATTCTCATGGGACAGAATAATTGTTTCCCACCCAGCCCTAAACATTATTCTTATTCTGCAGATGAGGAAATTGAGGTACAAGAAAGGGAAATTACTTCTCCAAGGTCACTTAGCAAACCAGTTGAGGAGGCAGGAATGGAATCCAAGTCTCCTATATTTCAGCCAAGTTTCCAATCCACCTCCTCTTGCTAATTTGCATCTGCATTTTTTTTGCTCACCAAATGAATTGAAGGTACAAATCCATGTGCATGAACATAATTTGTGTGCTGCCATCAAGTGAGAAAGTCAAGTCCTCCAGATTCTGGTTTTGTTCAGCTCAGGGTGATAATTTAGGGACATCCATAATACAGATAGAAATATTTTCTCTCCTGAAGGATGATATTGTTTAAACATGCTGATAAATTAATACTGGACTCATGTCACAGAAACAAACACTCTCGACCATCTGTCAATCAGTCTAAAATGCTGGATTGGTGGAGAAGGTTTGTAATTACTGCAGTCATAAAGTTTAATAAAATGTTTTGATTCCATTAGGCAATTTAATTTAGATGATAAACTGCCAGGAAATGACAGCTTTAATAAATCCTTATTAAAAAGGTTCTGGGAGCCACCAGCTGTGAAGGAATAGTACTGTGTTTCCTAGTAGGTAGTCGAGAGAGATACCTAATTCTTTTGAACATCTCAGATATGTAGGTCGTCAGATACTATAGGAATATGGATTGTATAACAAACTTGAGAGAAAGTTCTGCAGTATAATACCAAAAAATAAGATGTAAGGTGCTAGAAGCAAAGGAATCAGAAAATCAGATTATTCTATTCTCTTGTCCTGATAGCAGCCAGTCTTGGATATTCCAGAGGAAGGTCAGAGAAAATGGTTATTGTGGAATAATCGACCATTTGGGAATTAGTAGTTCGTTTTTGCTTAAAAACATACATTCCTGTTGTTTCCATATCTGATTGCACATGATCTCGTTATACATATAATTGTGAAATACTTTTTTATGTACTGCAGCTTAGCTCTTGACTTAAGTGATACCTTTCGACAGTGGGTTCCGCAGATTGTGCCTTGCCGCTGTATTTTCACTATGAGTTTCTTGGCCTTTCTTTACGTTCTAAGAATAGAGGCTCAACAAGGAAATGGTGTTCGCAACTCCTAAAGAGTGACACTAATCCTGATTTCCTGATCTCAGACCTGATCAATGAGGCTTTGAAGCACATGTGAAGAATGCGAGATGTCCCATCTACTTCAATACAGCTGCATCTATTTAGAGATAAACTTGAATACCTTATATTCAGGACTTGGAAAATGATAGGTGGTGCAGCCAAGGTAAGATGTGATGTCCCCCTCCCCATTCCACGCTTTATGAAAATTGGCTTGTGACTATGAATATGCATAACTTGAAGATGCTTTATGCAAAACAGGTCATGGGACATAGCAGTTTTACAGTTATAATCTGCTGGATTTGTGTATCTTATTTTTGTGCATGACTCACTCTTGCATGTGAAGTTAGAAATATTAACTGTTTATAGTTTTAAATGTGCTAATGAAAGTCATTACTGGTGCCCCAGAAGGCTGAACGCTTGGTGATCAGCTCAAGGACTTGTAAACAGACTTGTTTGCCCCATAAATCCAGAAGGTAGTTGATCTAGAAAGACATGTGACCATTCCACTTGGTACTGAAATCTATTTTGACTGTGGTATTTTTCCATTGAAGGGGGAATATAAAACAATGGATTCCCACCCTGGAGAAAGGTCTATTTAAGCAACGGGAAGCTATCAGTCCTTTGTCTTCAGCTGGTCTTGGAAAGTTCTTGGCACATTCTAAGGCTAGGTCTACACTGCAAAGAGAAATCGGAAAAAGAAACGGTGCCAAATTTCATAAAAAAGTCCTCTTTCAACACATCCCTTTTTCCTCATAAAACAGAGATGGCAAAAGAGCATGTCCACTTTTCTGAAAAATTTTCTGAAAAAGTGGACGTGCTCCTTGGACGTGGAGCTGGTTTTTCAGGATACCTCTGGTATCCCGGAAAAGTGCTGCAGTCTAGACATAGTCTAAGAGGAAAAAGAACTTTAAAGAGGACTGGAGACCCAAGTCAGAGGGGAAAAAAATCATCTCTGACTTGAAGATTATGCCTGAAACAAGAATAGCTGTTTAGGATAAGAATTTGCATGTAGTAAGGTTTTTGGTGAACTAGAATGAGTTATGCATTTACTATTCATTTTAATTTTGGAAACTTATTTTGAATTGTCTGTTTTCATTTGTGACCACTTAAATCCTAATTTTTACACTTTTGTTTACTTTCAGGCCCAGTGTAAATAATTGTTACCTGGGGAGGGCAACCATTGTGCATATCTCTCTTTCATTGCGAAAGGCAGCTTACCCGGGGTACTTTGGAGGTGTTTTCTTTATGCAGAGAAAGACAGATTTATTTGGGGTTTTGATTTCTTTTGGGGGTTGGTTTCCTGGGTGATGTGCCCTAAAACTACATCCTCACAGAGCTGAAGGGTTTCAGGGTTAGCATTGCTCTGCAGCGGGGTGGTTACCCCAACTCTAGGGGAGACAGGACAAGGTGGCGGGGTGACCCAAAGAGCAAGAAGGTGGGCATCAGTGGCATAATCCACACATTGGGGAACAATCCCAAGGAATCTTCTTTGACTGTGCCTTGTCACACTTGCCACTTCTGATCAGCTCAAAATCACCAGTGGAATATCCTCCCAGGAAGTAGAGTCTAGTTCTTTTCACACTATCTTAGATGGTCAGATCGCTCCAAGGAGAGAAACACCAAAGCCGATCTGAAATGGTCCTAGGTAGCATAGAGAATCCTGTACAGAGACCATCTAAATATTAGCTGCCATTGGAAAATGAGTCCAGGCACACAAGGCCTTAGCAGTTCCTGGGTTTAAATAACAGAATTAACTTTTGCTTAGAGTGAGCAACTCAGAATTCTGTTAACAAATGCAAAGCCCATCATCAAGCAAACGACTACAGTGAAATATGTTCTGCTTCTTTACCATAGACTCAATTAATCAAAGGAACATGTTTCTTTTAATTAGCCTCCATCCCCTGTTCCCTCCAGATGAAAATCATTCTTGGCTGCAAAGTGCTCCGGTTCCTGGAAACATTTTGATGTGCATCAAGTCAGTGGGGGACTGCTGTGAAATCCAGTTGCCAACATGTTCCAGGGACTCGATGAGTACAGCCTCAGGTTTCTCTTCCATTCTGGTGCCAAAGAATGGAAATAATGGATGGGTGACTTCATTAACTTTTAAGCCCCTGTAGCTGGCAGTTCAGTCTTTGTGAAAGGATGTGGTCTGGTCGGAATTTGTTATAGTGACTGCCAAACACCTTCCCCATTGAAATGAAAACTGTGCTTGGGTCTAGATAATTACCACACAACCATGCCAAGCCCAGAAATCCTCCTCCATGGACAAGCTCTATGGGGTTTAAAATTTACATTTATAACCATTTGCTTTCAATAGAACTGTCGGATGGGCCAAATCTTAGACACGTGACTTTGGGGTTACACTTGGCTGCACATAGTCGAGGTGTGACTGACACATCTATAAAGGAGAATTGATGCTTTCAGATGTTTCTTTGCATGCAAAAATTGTGTAGCTGCTTACACTGTACCACATGAAAAAGTGAAACACTAATAGATCAGAACAGCCGTATTTCCCGATCCACTTGGCATGCTAATGACTGCACAAGGTACAGAGTACTGGAAAATCAGGCCCTTCATGTGTACATTTCAGCTGGGCTCTGTGGCAGGAGGCTGATCATGATGTAAGAAGCTGTTATTCTTGCATTTCTTGCCCAGACCAAAATGCACAGGCACACTTCTCCAGGAACGCTCACTTCTACAGATGTTGTGGAGGCCACATCTGCACTAGGGGAGGAAGTCAACATATGATATACAGCTACCGCTATGTGAATAGTCTAGCGGGTGTCGACGTACTTTAGGTCAAATTTCTGTGGCATGTCCACCAAGGAAGGTCAATGAGAGAAACTCTTCCATCAATTTCCCTTACTCCTTGCAACCTGGTGGAGTACTGGAGTCGACTTCAGTAGAGTTAGTGTTTTTACTATTTAGTGTGGTCCTATCTGTGAGAGTGTTTTTTTTTTCAAAATAGCCAGAACTTCTGATTTTGATCACATGTACACCAGTATAAATCAGAATAGCTTCGTACCACTCTGTAGTCATGCTGGTCTAAAACCCTTATAAATGAGAGCGACATCAGACCCGCTGTATAAAGAAACAAAGACTTTCTTAAGAAATCCCCCCAATAGCATACTCTGCAACTCAATCCTCGATGCAATGAAACCGTTGATTTCTTTTTTTCTCAGAGATGCATCACATTTTTCCCGCATGCCCCTTGTTCTCCATCAAGAAAATAAAAGCAACACTAATTCCATGTGACGGAAACCTATCTGTGTCAAGTCAGAGAGCTAGGGAGGGGGACGCGCCCATGAACTCTTACTAGCTCGCCTTCTGATTCCCAGTGGCTTACCTGACACTCACTTCACCGCTGCTTTTTCCTCTCGGAGAATCCATTCCGAGGAGATTGTGACAAGGACAATACATTACTGACAAACTTTGAAAGAATGTTAGGAAACATCATTCCAACTGTTAGAGTCAATGAGCAAAACTGTGAGTCTTGTCAAGTCCTTTTGCTTCTTCACAGCATAAAAATGTCACTTCATTAATCAGAAGAGCCTGTTGCTAGTAGACTCCAGCGCGAACACCATTCATCCCTGATCTTTGTCAATTTCTCGCAATAGAACCACAATTTAATAATCCCCCCTCGCACATTAGCAACCGTTTTATGGTAGAATTTCTGGTTCCTGATGATGCACTTGATTAATCAGTCTGGGGAGGACAAGAATAGATATATTAGGAAGCCTAATTAAAAGGCAGAAGACTGAAAAGCATTCTGGAAGGAGAGTGTTACAGATGCAAGTTCCTTTTCATGCATCACAGTAGTCGTATAAGCCCAGATTCATGGCTGCGGCCGGGGAACACACTGCACAGCCAGGAGGGGGACAAGGATAGAACTGGGCTGCACACTGGAAAGGGAAGGTCCCTCATCTTAAATAAAAGTAGCGTAAGGGTGTGGAAAGGGCTCCCCCCTCCCATGCACCCCTTTGTTGGCGGAGGATGTGTGTGCCCAAGTTCTTCTGCTCCATCTGGCTCTGGGAGGGGAGGTATCCCAGGTCCTTTCCTCTGGCTCACCTGGGACCAGGCTTCTTCTTAACCCTTTTTGTGGCTTTTGGGGGTTTGGGAGGACCCAGGCCTGCCCCCCTCTTCTGGGTCCTAGCCCAGGGACCCTGGAAGTAGCAGTTGCCCAGTAAGTCTCCTCACTGTCCACTCTTAACTCTGTCCATAGGCCACTTCCCCAAGAAGCTCCTCTGTCCAGCCCTTTCTCTCAGGACTTTGAGATCAAGTTCTCACAGCCTCCTCTCCAGGTGTCGCTATCTTTCCAGTCAGTTCCCGGGTCTGACTGGGTCGAGCTCCAGCCAGGAACTGCCAGTCCCTGGCCCAGCAGCTTTTTTATATCAGCTTGCTGGGCTCTGATTGGCTGCCACAGAAACAGCCACTCTAGCTTTCCTGGAGGACTTATCTTCAGCTCTTTTCCCTAGGCTAGAGTGTGGCAAGGCCACCAGCATCCAGCAGGGGGCTTTCGGCTTAGTCCATCCCGTCACAGGGTGCTATAAAGTATTCCATCTGTTGCAGGGTGCAGTAGCGCATGCCTGCTTTCTCCCCCAGCCACAACATATACACTGGTTGAAACGGCGGGCATCTTGCATAGAAACAGCGACACCGACTTCGTGTCCATTCCTCGGGCAAGGTCAAAGCTCACATAAGAACAGGCCAGCCGTAACTCGGGGTGCAAATAAACACAGCAAATACTGTGGGGCCCTGAAAGATGAGGACCCTCTAATGGACACACAAACTACCCCCTTCTCTCATAACAAACATGACCAATACTTGATGCTTCACAGCAAGAATTTCCCTTGCAGACCGGAAGCAGAAGAGGGCCAATTATTGGACCAGCCGAGGCCTTATCCACACTGGGAATTCACATGGATTGCAGTTACTGATGTCACTGCAGGAGAGTAAATACCAAGTGTGGGAAAAGCTGCCATTTGCACCTGCAGATCTTACCTGGGGAATTTGCACCACTAAGCACTATGGGTTTCCTGTCTACAGTAGGAGCTGCACCAGTAGTTGGAATCAGGGTAAATCCCCCAGGGTAGACAAGACCTTGGCTTCTAATATCACCCCTCAGATATTGTCTATTTCCTGATGTGAACTGAGGAC